AAAAAATTAAGATCATGAATATAAAGCATCAGTAAATATCGGCACAAAAATATTAGTAAATTGCCAATTGGTAAATTACTAAATTAACTGAAGCCAGGGAAAAGAGAATTCCTTAGTTCCATAAGAAATGTGTATGGTAGATGTTTTGAGCAGGTTAATTTGTGGTGAAATTTTTGGGCCAGGTGACATTTTATATGTACAATTTTATATCATAATTACATGTATATGTCTTTAGAAGCCTCCATCATGAGAGAACAAGAGAATGTTACTTTTTTTTTTTTGAGACAGAGTCTCACTCTCTCGCCCAGGCTGGAGTGCAGTGGTGTCTTGGCTCACTACCACTCCACCTCCAGGGTTCAAGTGATTCTCGTGCCTCGGCCTCTCGAGTAGCTGGGATTATAGGCATATGCCACAAGGCCTGGCTAATTTTCGTGTTTTTAGTAGAGACAGGGTTTCACCATATTGGCCGGGCTGGTCTTGAACTCCTTGCCTCAAGCAATCCTCCTGCCTAGGCTTCCCAAAGTGCTGAGATTACAGGCATGAGCCACCGCGACCAGCCTAAGAGATTACTAAAGAAAATATTTATATGATATCTTGAAAAGCATGCACCTAGGCCAGGCGCGGTGGCTCAAGCCTGTAATCCCAGCACTTTGGGAGGCCGAGCGGGTGGATCACGAGGTCAAGAGATCGAGACCATCCTGGTCAACATGGTGAAACCCCGTCTCTACTAAAACTACAAAAAATTAGCTGGGCATGGTGGCGCGTGCCTGTAATCCCAGCTACTCAGGAGGCTGAGGCAGGAGAATTGCCTGAACCCAGGAGGCGGAGGTTGCGGTGAGCCGAGATCGCGCCATTGCACTCCACCCTGGGTAACAAGAGCGAAACTCTGTCTGAAAAAAAAAAAAAAAAAAAAAAAAAGCATGCACCTAGAAGGAACTGCTAAGGGTCACAGCCACCCAGTTAAATTTAGGGAAAAAAGTGCCTTAGGTGTTATATTTTCAAGGATGTTTGAAGAATGTGTGAATGGAATTTTCTTTTTTTTTCTTTTTTTTTTTTGAGACAGAGTCTCACTCCGTCGCCAGGCACCAGGCTGGAGTGCAGTGGCGGGATCTCGGCTCACTGCAACCTTCACCTCCTGGGTTCAAGCAATTCTCCTTCCTCAGCCTCCTGAGTAGCTGGGACTACAGGTGCGCACCACCACGCCCAGCTAATTTTTGTATTTTTAGTAGAGACGGGGTTTCACCATGTTTGCCAGGATGGTCTCAATTTCTTGACCTCATGACCCGCCCGCTTCGGCCTCCCAAAGTGCTAGGATTACAGGCGTGGTGAATGGAATTTTCTACCCAGTTTCACAGGAAGAGCAATTATTTGGGTGTCCTTCATAGTTCAACAGTGTATCTCCCTCAGTCCATTCTAATTTAAGGCTCTTTCCCTGCTATATAACTTCATTCATATTCTGCTTCTAGTGGAAATGGAGAGTTACTATATAACAGTATTTTAATGTTTAGGTTTAATTTTTTAAAGTTGTGAACTTCCAAGCTCTCAGCATCTCTTTAGATCTTTACAAGTCATGAGATTAAATACCATATTGACTATCATTTTACAAATACAAAAATTCTGAGAGTAGAGAATTTAAATCCTGTCTTTATTCAGCTTTTACCATAATGCCCCATTTTCCATCTTGAGTACAGTATCTTGCCATACCTTTGTTTATTATTGAGTTTTCCTTAAATTAAATGACAAATATACCTCCAAAATACGCATCCAACTTTAGTCCTTCGCTACCAATATTTGAACCTAGGGTATTTGGAGAAATCCTAAAACAGACATTTGCACCACACATACACACACAGGCATGAGAAGATCACAGAGGCTGCGGGGAAACTCATTGTTTCAAAAGCATTTGAAACACTTGGTTTGTTAAAAATAGTTATCCATTTTTTATTAAAATACCTAAAAGTACCACATTTTTATTAAAAATGCCTGAAAGATGCGTGTTTGATTGCTTAATGGAGAACCCGGAGCAGTAAATTGAAGGAGACCACTCGGTAGGTTGAAGCACAGTTAGGGTAGTGTTTTCAACAGATTCCCAACATATAGTTTCTTTGGGACTCAGGAGTAAAAAAAAAATCAGAACTCTCAGGAATTCTCCAAATCATTTGTTATTCTTTAAGTATTTCTAAAATTAATTATACTCTTTACTCATTGTTATGGATATCTAAAAGTTATTTCATAAATAAAAAATATCAAGTTCAATAGCATTTATCAATACTATGGTCTGTAGCAAATATTCAAACTCTGGGAAATCCCAGCAAACATTATTGTGTATATTCAGATAATGTAATATTCAGGTACCCTAGTAAGGCTAGCAGCACTAGCTTGAATCACAGGTTGAAACTGGCAGCTTAAGAACATATTTTGCTTCCAAAACCTGATATTTCTTAAAACACCATGCATAAGATTTGTATGAATATTTGCATAAAATATACCACATATAAAAACTTACTAATATGTATTTTATTTGCAACAATTACTCAGCATTACAGGCAGACAAATCACAAACCCACATTTATAACATGGCTGTTGCTACCTCTAAGGATGATAAACTGATGAGATCATGACTGCTTTTTTTTTTTTTTTTTTCCTCTGCTCTCCTCTCCTGGGTTTTGAAAATATCAACCTTAATCTTGGACTGTGTCTGTGTTTCTGCTCCTGCATTCCACTGGACATCAATGGTTTCATCAAACCAGCAAGAGCGCCATGTCACTTGCAAAACTTTAATTCTCACAAGAGAATTTTAAAGCTCTTTTCTGTTTTCCCCATTTTCAACTGATTTTCCTTTGAATTTGGGATTTGGAAAACTGGAATTTCCTGAGCAATGCTAGGAAGGGATTCCCATATGGAAAACCTGGTCAAGGTTTACTGCAGACCCATCAGGAAGGCCCACAAGCAGGGTCTCTGGAAAGCAGAGTAGAGAGCCTGATGAGGGGGGAATAGCTGGGACATGGGGGCCCCAGCACACAGCACCTGTGGCAACAGTAAAGCACAAGCCCATCTTCTTCAGTGTAGCCTCAGCTAGAAAATGTCCTGAAAGCAGAAGCACCAGCATCACTTAAGTCAATGAAGAGCCTTCAAAGATTGAAAGAAGGTTGACAGCTTACTTTGAAAGGCCAAGTCCTGACTTAGCCTTTATACCTTGTAAGAGAGAGAAGGAAAATATCAACATTAGGGAATGTTGACCTATCTGGTTTCATTAGTTAAAGTTAAAACTGTACCTACTTATTTTGTTAGGTAAAGTTGTACGTACTTATTTTTGTTAGATAAAGTTGAGTTTCTTCCTAGGTTTTTTTTTTTTTTGCTTCGGAAGCCAAACAGCCTTCTGGTGATATTGACAGATTTTGGTTTTTATAGTTCCAAAAAGATGGTAGATTTGGAATCTTGAGACATATTTCTCGTTGAAACCACATTTGTTAAAAATGTTTGTGGGAGAAAATTGTGTTTGTTAAAATGATGACTTAGTCATGACCAGTTGATTTCACGCTTCAATCCTAGTGATAATTAGCTCACCATGACATTATACAGACCTTGCTTTATTTCATTATTCTCTATAAATGGACTTCACAAATTTCTTTAAATTTAGAAAATTAGCTAAAAGCACATTTCCTGTTGTTAAAATGTATTGCTAAAATAAGGGAATTCTGTAAGAGATTAACTTTAAAATTCTAGAATGTCAATGCATTACGGCATGGCTCCTAGCTCTGTATCCTTTAGGTCTAACGCAGATGAGAAAGTTGCTGTCTCTGAAGAGGGAGTTGGGAGGCTCAAGCCTCATGTGGGTGATGCTTAGGGGCTAGAGAAGAGGAACAAGTAGGCACATGATGGCAGTGATCCCTGAATCTCTAGGCCCTGCTCCCCTTGGAAAAGTGCCAGAATCCTGGGGAGGTAGCGGCTCCGATAAAGAGCAGGACAGATCCAAGCTGCAGTCCTGGGATTTTTGTTTGAAATTTGGCGTTGTAGGGAGGAAGACAAGCAAAGCTGCCTTGCAATTTTAGTTTTGGATAGGAGGAATGACAAAAGAAACAAGCCTGTTACTTTAGGGTCAACATGAGAGGAACATTTTGTAACAGTAAACTGTGATTCTTTAAGGCTGCCATAGCAGGGCTTATTCCCACGAGGGGACAGGTTGGGTATGGCCATCTGGAAATTGAGAGGTAATGTGGGATGGGGAGAAAATGGCCTTTTGCAAGATGCCCCGGGGATTTTTCACTCTCTGAGCCAAAGAGAGGAAAAGAATGACAGGTCCACAGTTCCAGAGGTCCAACTCCTGGAATCAAACACGGACTTCTCTGTTGGAGTTTTGGTGACCTTTCATACTCCAGGGTCATTGACCACTTTACTCGTCATATATACTGTTGTTTATAAGGTAACACTGACTTGTAGTAGAGCTGCAATGTTCTCGCCAAAAATCAGAGAAAGAGGCCTCAGTAAATAATTCGTTGCCAAGGGAACAGTTTCCTGAGTGGAGTGAAGACAGTCACGGAGACAACTTTCACATGTCCTGGCCAATGGAGGCTAGAAGCAGACAGTGACCAGATAAGCAGACTTCCATGTAGATCTTTGGACAAGGAAGCAAATCAATACCTTCTTTGTTGTAACTAACAGGATACCCTGGAGAACAGAGCTGCTGGCCGAAGCTCGGGACCTCTGGGAAGCTGGGAAGCCTAAGGAGCTTTCTGTCATCCTCACGGTAAGTGTGAGAGAACCACAGATTTCCCTCAAATAAAGTACACCAAACTTGAATTAAGCTGCTGTTGCTTATCACTGAGGTTCAGTGGGGAGAGATTTTTAATGTCTATCTAGATAGGCATTCTTTGAGTTTGATTTTTTAAATTTTTAAACAATTACAGATCTACAGAAAAGTTCCAAACATAATACAGAGAATTCTTATAAACCCTTTACTGTTCACCCAGATTCACTTTTCCACATTGGCTTTATCATCCCCGGTTCCATCCGTCTGTCTATCCCTCTATCAATTTTTAGTCTATCTATCTATCTCCATCCGTCCACTCCTCCATCGAATCTGCCTACTGCTCCATCCATCGACCCATCCATCCATCCATCCATCCATCCATCATCTATCTATATAAAATCTCATAGATTACGTCTGTCCCCTCCAACTGCATCCAGTGACTATTTTGTAAAATAGAGAACATTCTCTTATATACCCAGAGGGCAATGATCAAAATCAGGATACAATACTATTATCTAACCAACAAGCCTTATTCAACTTTCACCTATTGTCTACTGCTGTCCTTTACAATCAAAGTGGGAAACAGCCCTCAGGTCCGGGATCTGATCTGGGATCACACAGGACGCTTTGTTGTCCCCTTCGTCTCCTTTAATCTGGAACACTTCCTCTGTCTTTCTTTGTCTTCCCGAGTTGACATTTTTGAAGCATACAGACCATTTCTTTTGAAGAATGTTCCTCAGTTTGGGTTTGATTGACGTTTCCTCAAGATCATAGGTTCTGGTTCTGTATTTTGGCAGGAAAACCATAGAAGTGATATTGTGTTCTTCTTGCATTATATCAGGAGGCCCGTGATATCTGTTTGTCCAACAACTGGTGATGTGAAAGTTAATCACTCAGTTAAAATTACCGTCATCTATTTTAATATTCAAATGTCCCAGATTTGGTCAGTGGAAGCCCCTTCAGCCTGGTCATCGTGGTTTGTGACATGTCCCCGTAATTTGTTAAGCAGTTTATAACTTTCTAAAATAGAAAGATATCCCAGCCCCAGCCCTGCAATTAGCTATTTCTTCAAAGACTCGTAATTTCTTTTACTGGAAAATATTTAGAAACAAGATCTTCATGTTGCATGCTGGGTGTGATCAACATGTGTGTGCATGAGTGAGTATGTATGTGTTCATTTATAAGATAGCAATATAATTAGGTTCACTTATTTTTGTGTATACTTCATTTTGGGTTTCTATCTTTATTGATTTTATATATTTTAAGCATTTGAAATATACTATGGTTCTAGAAGTCAAAACTATAGCAAATATATAGTTAGAGAAATGTCACTCTCCCACACCCCTTCCATCCTGTTCCTATTCCCAGTTTTTTCTGCCCTATTTCCAACCACCACCACCCATCAGAACCAAGCTAATTATTTTCTCTTTTATTCTTCTTATGTTTTACTTTGCAGAAATGAATAGATACAGGAACATTTTTCTCTTATTTCTTACCTAAAAGGTACATAGTATAGATACTTTCTTTTTCCGCTTAACAAACGATACTGGAAATCACCCCATATCAGTTCAGAGAGACAGTCTTTGTTCTTTATCATAGCTGCATAGTACTCCATTGTATGGAGGTATTCAATTATTCTCTGATGTTCAGCTACATAGTTTTTTTTTTTTTCCAACATTTTTCAGTTACAACGAATTCTGCACAGAATTACCTTGTGCGTAAGTATTTTCTTATTTTTGGAAATAAATCTGTAGAGGTGGAATTACTGGCAGAAATAGAAAATGTACATACAGTATCTTTAGATATTGCGAAATATTCCCAGTTTGCATCCTTACCATTTATGTATAAGATTGCCTGTTTCCCACAGCCCTTCCAAAAGCATGTGCTGATCTACTTTTTATTTTCTCCAATTTAAGTGAAAAGTATCTCAATACAGTTTTAATTTGTATTTCTCTAAATATGAATGAGGTTAAACATCTTTTCATATGTTTAAGGATATTGTATCTTTTACCCAACTTTCTATTGAGTACATGCTTTTTCCAAACTTTCTTGTGAATTGCATTTTCCCTTCAATTTGCCAGGCAGAAGATAGAAGTTATACATTTGCTTAACGCTCATCTTGCCCCTTGATTTTTTCATCATAAAACTTTATCTACAGTAATTTTAGTTCTTGGTATGGCAGTGTTCACAGTGAAACTTTAATCAGGCTGTACATTTATAACCTGTACCCTTTTAAAAGGTCATTTTTTAAAGTTTTAATTGATTAAATTCTGTACCAAAGTATCACTGTCCTGCTTGTCTAATGTAAAACCTATTGGTTCTCAAAATAATTCCCAGGCAGCCCTGACATGAGATTAAAAGAAAAAAGTGACCCTCTGAAGAAGGGGTTCTGGGAGCACATACTTAAAGGGTAATCCCACAACACAGCACAGCACAGCACAACACAACACAACACACACACACATACACACACACACACACACACACACACACACACACACACACGGACATCCTACGCCCTCTCCCACCATGATGCCCAGTCCCACCAGCCTCCAAGACCTTGCCAAAAATTGCCAGGCTGAGATAGATCTTCCCAACTCACCAACTAGCAGAAAATATTTATCCAGTGGACAGCCATAGAATCCCTGGTTTTAAGATTTTGCTTGCAATCTCTTCTTTGCCCCCAACAAGCGACACCCCTGTGATTCAAGCCTCATCTTCTCCATAACTTGCAAGAGTAGGAGGAGGAAATAGGTAATTAAGTCATTAAATGTTATGACCTACTAAGAGAAAGGCTCTGATGGCCTTGGATTTTCTTACGCTTCTCAACACCCTGTCCCCTGGACAGCTGTGATGAGTCGAGGTGCCTTCTCTCCTCCCTTCAGCCTCCAGAATCTCATTGGTGTGGGAAAGATTGATAATCCAAATAAAACTGCCATGGGAAAATGGATGAATTTTTAAAAGTTACTTGTCTATTTGCTGCATCTCTTAGGACAGCCCAGGCAGGAGGGAGAATTAGTGCCACCTGGAGAGCTGTCACGCTGCTGGCCTGAGGAGGGCCCAGCCTCTCACATGGAATGGCCCCCGGCAGCCTGGGGAGTCCCCGAGCGGACAAGCTGGGGAGGAGGTGTGGGACAGATGGCAATGGTAGCTGTTGGGAAGGAAGGCTAAACAGTGTGGGCAAAAGTCAAAGATAAACTTCCATCCTCCCCTTTCTTTCCCCACGTAACATGTCTTTCCCCAAATGATGCTGGTTATTTCAAGTTTCCAAGAATGGCATTTGATGTATATCACGACCTTCCTAGGGAAGCTGGGAACGAGGCATCAGAGTTTCCTCTCCTTTTCCCAACAGAGACACCCCAGCACATGCACAGGCCCCACCTGAAGTCGCCATAAACACACACACACACACACACACACACAGACACACACACACACACACACACACACACACACACTTTCTTTCTCACTGAGAAAGAAGTTGGGAGTAGAAGCTGTTCCACTTGCAAGAACTAATGTCCTAGATCCAGCGCTGTCTGAGGATCACTGGCTGTTAGTCTGACCCCAGTCTCTAATGGTGTGCTGGATTTCCCACACTTGCATGGTGCAGGTCTGGAGCACAAGCACGTGGCTGCCGGAAGGGTCCTTCTTCATCTCCAGACACCGCTTGGTATCCCTGTTCATGACAGCCCCTCCCTGGAGGGGAAGAGAGACAGAGCCAAGGTGCTGAAATGCCTCAGTAATTCATCATCTTTAGGGGCCCCTCAGTGCTCTGCAAGCCATTCAGGGAAGAAAAGGAAGCAGAATATAGGATGAGATCACTCAGTGCTCCCTCTACCAGCCTTATGGCAAACTGACCAACCAGGTGATGCTTCACTAGCTTCGTGTGATGCCCTCAGCCTCTCCTGAGACGGAAGCGTTGGGTCGGTACTGACCTGCCATGAAATGACGGCCTCTGTGAGAGCCGTGGGCCTTCTCAACTTAGCCCTCCTTTCCATGTCCTCACCCCTGAGCCCGTGAGACCCATCAGGGTCACCTTCACCTTGTGCTTCTCTCCCTCCTCAGGGAAACTATGTTGTGCACCTGGAGCAGGAGCCACATTCAGGAATCTCAGCCTCTGAGGAAGCTTCCTGCCTCTGCTGTTGACGGGGCGTCACCAAGGTTTATGGCTGAGAACATGATAGGCTTTAGTGCTAAAAAGTCAGGGTTGAATCCTTGCTGTACCACATACAAACCGTGTGGGTCTGGACAAATTACCTAATCTCTCCAAGTCTCAATGTCTTCATCTATAAAATGGGTTTAGAGTTAATATTAAAGTTAAAATTAGACTTAATGTTGATGGAGCATCTTGGGCCTGACACATGAAATGGGTAACAAATCCTAGTTCATCTCTGCCACTCCCCATCCTAACAGGGGAAAAGAAAGGAAGGGCCATCCTTCTCTTTGATCCTATGTGATCCCCACAACCTCCCTGAGCTTCTTCCCCCTTATCTTCATACCTCAGCAACTGATGATCCTCCCATCTGTCCAAACCACCATCTCTCCTGGTCCTGCCCTCTGCTCCCAGCCCTCTCTCTCCACATCCCTCTCAACCCCTTTGCAGGATTCACATGAGCTGCATTAGTGCCTGGGTCAGGCTGTATTTTTTTTATGCCCTGCACTCTGCTATCATCCTCAGGATCCATAACATTCATTCTGATGGCGAGTGAGAAACCCCGACCTGACTGTTCCCCTTCGGACAAACTGCCACCAAGTTCTTGAACACCAAGTGGGACTGACTGCAGCTGTAACATCTCCAAATTTCTGCTTCCTCTCTCACCATCACCTCCCTGCCTCTCATCTCTTCAAATCACAAAGTGCCTCCAACAGCCCTTGCTCCCCCAAAATTTTTCTGTCATTGGACTTCCCCCGGCCCCAACCACCCTTGCCTCCTCTGGGCACCCGTCCAGCATTGGCCATTCAGGACAGCTCTTCAGATTCTGGAACTTCTCCTCCACCATCGCCACCACTCCTTTCTCTTGGCCCCTGCTTCCAGACCACAGAGCTCTCGTGGACAGGGTCTGCCAGCTGAGCAGGCCTGGCCCCAGGGCTCGGCTTACTCCTCAGGGCACCTCATCCAGGCCTCCTCAGCATGCTTTGTCTGTCAGCCCCCACCCCGACACTCACTTTGACAAAATGTCAAGAACACCACACTTCTGCCACCTTAATCTTTATCTGTTGGTCTCAGCTCTGCCCTCCTGCGACACTAATCTACTCCGTCTTCCTCAGGAAGACAGCAGCATCTTTTCTCTATCCATAGGCCTAACAAGCCTTTCAAGCTACATCTCCAGGCCTGCCAATCTTGCATTTGCTCTGCAACCATTTGTTGAGTGCCTGCCATGTTCTAGGGGTTGTGCCAGACGCTTGAGGAAAAGCAGCAAACCCCAGGCCCTGCCCTCCAGCTCACAGCCAAATGACGAAAAGAAGCAAGTGAGCTGACAACTGCAAGCGATGGTGAGACTAGGGCTATAAAATGGCCCCTGAGAGCGCATAGAGGAACCACCTGCCCGACTCCTCTGGGGTCACAGAAGGCTTCCCAAGGGAGATGACGTCTAAGGCCAGGGGAACACTTTGTAGTTGGCCTGGTGAAGAAGTGGGAGGAGAGGGAATAATACCTGCAAAAAGGTCTAAGGTAAGAGGGAGCCTGGACTTTCACTGAATTACCTACAGTTCCATATAATTGGAGCTTAAAGTGAGACATCAGAGACTGAGAAGACATTACCCCCCTTCTCCTAATCAATATTGTCTAGTTCCGGAAAGCTTAATCTGGGATGAAAAAAAAAAAAAAAAAAAAAAACCTCTGAAACTGTAAGCAAATCTTGCACATAGGTTCATATGTAGGTTTTCCTGGAGAGAGAGTCCATAGCTCACAACGAATTCTCAAAGGGGGCATTAGCTTTGAAAAGTTAGAGACTGCTGAACTAGATTGTCCATGTGGCACTTGAACAAAGCACAGTCCCACATTCAGAGATATGGTCACAGACAGACCAGTAGCTCCCTCCAGGAGGTACTGCCCCTTCCTACCGAATTGGCCCAGGAGCGCAGCTTTTGGAGTAACCCCATCCATTGTCAATTCCCCATAGACTGCCGTCAGCCAAGACCCTTGCGTCATCATCAAGTACATCTGCCAGATTCCTTCCACCCTGTCTTTGGTCATTTGATGTTGACGTTAAAGGCAGAGCTCCCACATTAGCCCCTGTCAGATTTCAGCCTAGTATTTCACACCCTCTGATAATTATTAATAATAAGTGGATCGCAGTGGCTAATGCATATTGAACACTCCTCTGCTCCAGGCAGCACGCTCAATACTTTACACACGCTGGATCATTTAATCCTCTCAACACTGGCCTACAGAAGATATTATCATCCCCATCATTTTATAATAAGGAAACTGAGCTTCAGAGAGGGTAAGGAACTTGCTAGGTGACTGAGCTAAGACGTGGGCCGAAACTCTCTCAACTGTTCCACTACAACAGATTCCAGCATTTCTCCTCCTTAACCACCCCTGCCTTAGTCAAGAGACTCAGTGTTTCATACCCAGTTTCCTGTTTCCAATCTTCTCCCTACATGTTGCCACAAGAAGTAATTCTCCTAAAACACTATCAAATCAAATCTGAACCTCTCATATATCTGTCCTTTAAAAAACATGTAACTTGCTGGACTCAGGCCTGTAATCCCAGCACTTTGGGAGTCCGAGGCAGGGGGATCATGAGGTCAGGAGTTCAAGACCAGCCGGGCCAACATGGTGAAACCCAGTCGCTGCTAAACATACAAACACGTCATGCCATGTGCCTGTAATCCCAGCTACTCAGCAGACTGAGGCAGGAGAATTGCTTGAACCGGGACCCTGGAGGCAGAGGTTGCAGTGAGCCATTGCACTCCAGCCTGGGCTACAAATCGAGACTCCATCTCAAAAAAAAAAAAAAAGAAAGAAAGAAAATGCATGTAACTCACCTGTTTAAAATCCCAATGTATATGCAGTCCATTCGTAGCTGCCTCGGAGCATGGTTCTAAGGTGGGCTTCCCCTCTTCCTTGCCAGGGTCTGTCAGGCAGCGATCACTATCACTGGCCTCTGCAATCAGCTGTCCCACATAGAGCTCCCCGGTTAGGTGATAGTAGACGTACTAAAAGAGGGCAGAGGACTCGCCATTGGCATCATCAGCCAGCAGGAGACCCTAGCCAGAGGGAGGGCGGGAAGACTGATCTTGGAGCCCCTAGACACCCAGTTTCACCAGGAGCACTGAACCCTCCGGGCCAACACGAAGCCACCCCTGCTTCCCTCTACTCTTTAGTCTCCCCTGGAATCCAGGGAGGAGGTGAGGCCTAGGAGGGCTCCAACAGAATCATAGCTTACATGGATGAAGAAGCTTGTCTCTGAAGAAAAAACAAAACTGAACTCCAGAACCTTTCACCGTAGGCCTCAGCTATGGATTTGTTGTCAGAAAACCTTTTGAATTTCTGATTTGACACGTCCTTGCTCAGTGAGCTTAGACAAGTAGTTTGGTCACGTGTCTCCATTTTTTCATCTAAGTGGAAATGATCTCTATCATGCATGCCTCAAAAGGTTGCTATGAGGGCAGGATGCAAAGTAAGAGGACAGATGTGAATATTGTCTGTTAAAAAAAAAAGTCCCCTGGCTGCACCTTCCACATGGGGCCAGGGCCCTTCCATCCCTTGGAGGAACATCTGCTCAGCCTCTCTCCTCTCTAGCTCTGTTTCCCTCTCTCTAGGAGAAGCACAGGTGTCTTCACCTGTCCACATTCCCAGGCATTCAAGGAGCAGAGAGAAGACGGAGGGAGCAGTGGGAGGAGGGGAAAAAGGAAGGAACCAGAGGTGACTGTCAATGCAAATGTCACCATGGAGAAGGAATGTGACAGAGCATAGCCTTTCCACCTATCCTCCTGTAACTGAAATGAAACTACGTTGCCACGGCTTTCTGAAGAAATAAAGATGTGCTAGTTACAAGTGCAGGTCTGGGTTTCACCCTTGCCCAGGATGCTCCGCTCCTGACTCCCCATCACCTATCACAGAGTCTAGACCCAGCAAAGGTTATCAGGGGCTGAGCCACGACAGACTCGCCCAGCCAAGGCCAAGAAGACTGGGGAAGATACCTGTGAACTGAATCCATGGCAGTTATACATGATGGGAGTGTTGCCTGGAACGGCTCCCCGATCCAGGCAGAGATTTTCATCCAATAGGTTTTTCATCTGAAGGGGCAAAACACATGGCGACACTGTTAGAAAGAGGCAGAGAATGAGCCCCATCCCTCCCCAGACCGACGTTTTCCCCAGCGTGCCAAGGGCACCAGAACAACCAGTCTCAGGGAGCAGAGAGCTGGGATCCCCGCAGGCATTTTCTAAGCACTGGGAAACAGGCCAGTGCTGAAGGGAGGTGCGGCGGCACTGCCCACATTCTGGAAACACCCACCACCTCAGACCATCACCACACACACAGGGACGGCCGCCTCTGCGGAGTTCAGGTGGGCAAGGCCAATCGCTGCAGTTGGTGGAGAAACCGAGAGGGTCCAGGCAAGAGCTACAGTTTTCAAGGGGACTAGAAGCAGAGACAAGGAAAAGAGATGGGGATCGGGGAGCAAGGAACGAAAGGAAACTGAGAGGGTTGAGGGCAAAGAGCTGAGGAGAAAGCCAGATAAGAAGGGCGTCTTGGGCAGGACAGGCAATCACATGGTTCAGGCTGCATTTTCTTTACAGTCGAACATGTGAAATCCAAAATGCAATGTCATCATACGCACGGTTCCATAGCCTATGATGGTGTGTATTGGCTTCAAGAGTGGGTAAACATTTTTCAGGTACCAGTCAAAAGTTTTACACTTCAGTTTTTCCCGGAGTGCCATTCTGGAAGAAATGTCCCCAAAATCGATTCCGGAGTTCTGTAAATAAAACACCAAGTGTTTCTGTGCTTTGATTCATGAAAGCTCGTTAAAGCAAACTAAATATGGCCTGGAAAGAACTCTGTGTTTCTTTATTTGAGTCCTTGTGGATGAATTGCAAGGTAACTTAATAGATACACAAGATCGAAAACCTAACTTAGGACTATGCACCTGTAACAATAGCTGAGTCTTGTCCAATCCCAGCAGCCATACCTCAACCCCACACACACTGTCCAGTGTTCAAACTATGTTCAAATAAGGCAAATGCGGAGCTGTAACCAATCCAGCTGTTTCTATACTTCACTTCTGACATCTGTTTGTCACTTCCTTTTTTGTGTCTATACGTAAATCTACCACATGGCTGCGCTGGAGTCTCTGAATCTGCTGTGATTCCAAGTGCTGCCCAATTTGCGAATCAATCATTGCTCAGTTAAACTCCTTTAAATTTAATTTGGTTGAAGTTTTTCTTTTAACAGCTCCTTAACTCCACCTGTGGGTATGGGTCACCATGATGGAGCTGAGTATTTTTCTGATAGCCTGTGAAGTAACCTTGATGTTTTCATATTTGCAGGGAAAGTGGAAAACCCTTAAGCCCTAGAAAATTCTGCTTTTTCAAATTCTGCTCTTTTAACGCTTGCATAGTGAGGCCGCTCAGGTGTATTTCTCCTCATCAGTTAATGCAGACTGCTCCTGTTTGAGATGATATTTACATCAATAAATCCCCAAATCCTCCTCATGATGGCCAGACAGGCTCTTGGGGCGAGGCATGGTAGCTCACGCCTGTAATCCCAGCTCGTTGGGAGGCCGAGGTGGGTAGATTGCCTGAGCTCAAGAGTTTGAGACCAGCCTGGGCAACACGGCGAAATCTCGTCTCTACTAAAAATACAAAAAAAATAGCTGGGCGTGGTGGTGCATGCCTGTAGACCCAGCTACTCAGGAGGCTGAGGCAGGAGAATTGCTTGAACTTAGGAGGCGGAGATTGCAGTGAGCCAAGATCGCACCACTGCACCACAGCCTGGGTGACAGTGCGAGACTCTGTCTTGAGGCTCTTGGAAGGAATACTCTAATACCAACATTTGGAGATTAAAAGAGGCGTTTTTAGAAGTGATCTTTTGCGGAGAATCAATGTAAAATAATACTGAAGAGGCAAATTGGAAAAGGAAAGCAGAAACCATTGTGTATCTGCCCTCCTCCCAGAATTTTCCTGTGGGGCTCATTTAAGATCGTCCCTTTTGAACATTTAGATCATCCTTAGATGGTTCAGTTGTTTTACAGACCATTCTTTGTACAGGTTGGGACAGTCACAGCATGACTCCCTAGAAATAAAAAAAACTAAGGATGTCCTGGAGGGTACTTGTTTTCCTATCATACGTTGGTATACTGGGACATCAGAATCAATTTACTCATCTTTCTTCAAACAATGAGCTAACTGTAAGAAGTTATGGGCAGCTTGGATCATGAAAGGAAGGATTTTGCTGACTTTAAAGAAGGCTCAGGCATTTCTACACGTTTTTACATTCTCCAGACCTAGAGATCCCAGTGTTAGCCTGGCTCCTGACCCTAGGAGTCCTTCCAGACTTTCTCTTCTAGGTCCATCCACGGCTACCCACCATCCTGACCCCCTGGCTTTCTGGGGGCTACATCAGAACCCACTGTGATGGAGAGATGAGTTTGTCAATGAGATGACTGCTTCCTGTGAGTCAGCATGGCTCCACATGCTCTAGCCCAGAGCCAGAGCTCAAGGGCACGAGACCGCATAGCATGCCAACCTTAAACAGCCAGGGTATAAGATGTGGGCTTAGCTAAGAAGGCCATCGTTGGCTGGGTGCAGGGGCTAACACTTTTCATCTCAACAATTTGGGAGGCCAGGAGTTCCAGACCAGCCTGGGCAACATAGCATGACCCTGTCTCTACCAAAAAAACTTTAAAAAGAATGCTATCCTCATTCTTGTTCGTCCAACAAGATTACAGTGCCCTCTTCTACCACCCCATACCACACCTGCTATGTTTATGTCACCCATTATAGAAGAGAGATAAAGAACATGGAACTTAGGACCCAGATTTCCTTGGTTTGAATCTTACTACCTGCATTACCATAAACAAGTTTCTTTCAACTCTACGTGCCTCAGTTTCCTCATCTGTAAAATTTAGAATCATAAAAATAAAACCTATCCATCCCCTACATATGTTGTGATGGCTAATAAGTTAATATATAAAAGGGTCCAGAATGCAGTACTGTACTGTTACATAGATGTTAAAGCCGTTATTATCACACCATCAGGACCTCACCCTAATTATTATTATTTTTTTTTTTGAGACGGAGTTTCGCTCTTGTTACCAACACTGGAGTGCAATGACGTGATCTCGGCTCACCTCAACCTCCACCTCCTGGGTTCAAGCAATTCTCCTGCCTCAGCCTCCCGAGTAGCTGGGACTGTAGGTGCGTGCCACCATGCCCAGCTAATTTTTGTATTTTTTTTTTAGTAGAGACGAGATTTCACCTTGTTGACCAGGATGGTCTTGATCTCTTGACCTCGTGATCCACCCACCACGGCCTCCCAAAGTGCTGGGATTATAGGCGTGAGCCACCGCGCCCTGCCCTTACCCTAATTCTTTAGGGCTGTGTTGGCACTTTTGTTTATCTCTCCCCGTTACATAACCACTATCTCCTCCTCTTTCATTCTTCCGTGCTGCTGTTCAATTCCATTACTCACCTGGAGAGGTATGTTCCAGGCCAAGTAGACCATGTGTTTGTGCTCATCCATCCAGATTTCAGCCACTCGCAGAGCATTGCGCTTTAAGGCAGGGGTCAGATCCAAGGCATAGGGCTTGTGGTGTCTCTCTACGTGACCAATCCGGGAGCAGGGCAAAACCTCGATCTTCCCTCCACACTGCCACACCTGCAGAAAAGACAAAAAAGATCACCTGTGCTTCACAGTCGGTGAATTGCATAGCTTACTGACACAGGAGACTACTTTTTAGAACCATTTTTAAAGAATGTATATTCAGTCCTCCCACTCCTGTCTTTGTATTGCCCCCTATCCTTCTCATCTAAATCGTCATTCCTTAGAAGTTTACCAAACTGCTTCTCTCCTGTCACCCAAACAACTGCTGAAATCATACTTCTTTCAGGAAGTCTTCCTACATGGACCAAAGGAGGGGCAGCCTCTGCTCCCTTACCCCCAAGGAAAGTGCGCATGTCCTGAGAGGTGCCGTGCCCTGAGCCACTCTCACTGCACTAAGTTTCTCATGCCCCTTCTCTGCCTGCATGCTAGACATAGGGCAGTGTGGCAGACAGACGCCAAAGTGACCCCGTGATTCTCCTCCTGGTATCCGCAGCCTTGCCTGATCCCCTCCCCTTGAGTGTGGGCCGGTGACCTGCTTATAACCAACAGAACATGGCAAAGATGCCAGGACATGCTTGATTACACGTATCATGAATACACTGCAAAATGTAGAGTCCGTTTTGCCAAGAGATGCTCTCTCATTGGCTTTGAAGAAGCAAGCTGCCATGTTGTCAGCTAACACACGAAAAGGGAAGACATTAAGAGTGGCTTCTAACTGATACCCAGCATAAAACCGAATGCTTCCTGAGCCTGGAAGACTTTCGGGAGCTGAATGCTGCTAACAATAATGTAAGCCTGAAAGCAGTTCTTTCCACACTGAAGCCCAGATGAGAACCCAGCTCTGGCTGATACCTTGATAGCAGCCTTACAGAGGACCCCGCTAAGCTGTGCACGGATCCCTGACCTGCAGAAACTGTGAGATAATGAATGCTTCTTGCTTTAAAACACTAAGTTTGTGATAACATTGTTATACAGCAATAGAAAACTAATTTGCGTAACTTGACCAAAAGATACCATGGCTTATGACCCAATTATAAACATTTGTTTTTAACATCCTAATGGGTACAAAACATGCTTGTCAAAACACACATTCTAATATTGGGCTTAGGAAACATGATCTTCATCCCAGTAGCTAACAGGACTATCTAATCATATTGGATTGATGCGATGTCTCCTGTGTCTTCTCTTCATGGTTTCTAAGAGGTTTCTAAGAGGTAATTAGCCCATAGCAGTGGCTACAACCTACCACACTCATGCCAAAGGGAGCCCCTGAGATAAGAGTGTGTAGCGCACCTCCCACTGGTTCAGTTAACATATCAAAACAGTGTCCAACTGAGTAGTCAGTCTCCTTATCTGACTTTCACATTGTTTTCATCCTTTTTCCACTGCTTAAAACCCTAGATTTGCCTTCCTCTGCACCCTATTTCCCAGAATAACAGAGTAAAAAAAGCAAGGCTTTGAAATCAGACTGACCTATGTTCAAATTCTGGTTTCATCATTGTACACCTGGCGGCTAGAGTGCTTTGCTTCCTATCCTTCTTAACTAAATCTTCATTCCTTAGAAGTTTACCCAACTGCATCTCTCCTGTCATCCAAACAACTGCTGAAATCATACTTCCTTCAGGAAGTCTTCCTACGTGGACCAAAGGAGGGGCAGCCTCTGCTCCCTTATCCCCAAGGAAAGTGCCCATGTCCTGAGAGGTGCCGTGCCCTGAGCCACTCTCACTGCACTAAGTTTCTCATGCCCCTTCTCTGCCTGCACGCTGGACATAGGGCAGTGTGGCAGACAGATGCCAAAGTGACCCCGTGATGCTTTGCCTCTAGCTTCCAGGTGTGCAATGATGGAATAGGTTGAGCCTCAATTTATTCATCTGCTAAAAGGGCACAGCCACCATTTGGGCTGTCAGCAGGATTAAATGACATAACAAGGAATCAGTTATGGCAGCCTCTGAGATAACTTGAGGTACAGCTTCTCTTTCATTCTCCTCCTCTGGCTCTCCTCATTGGTCCCCAGAATCATGTGGAGGTGACATCCCACTTGCACTCAGGTATTATTATTCTTTCTAGCCAAACATTAAATAATCCAAATACAACCTTACTCCAATTTTCCTAGTTGATGAAGGTTTTCAACGCATATAAATTAGGGGCAAAAAATTAACTGTTGGCATAAAAAAAGTCTTAAATTCAAGTTAAAAGTCAAGATTGCCTAGGCTGGGCATGGTGACTCATGCCTGTAATCCCAGCACTTTAGGGGGCTGAGGCGGGCAGATCACTTGAGGTCAGGAGTTTGAGACCAGCTTGGCCAACATGGTGAAACCCCGTCTCTACTAAAAATACAAAAATTAGCCAGTTGTGGTGTTGCGCGCCTGTAATCCCAGATACTCAGGAGGCTGAGGCAGGAGAATCACTTGAACCTGGGAGGCAGAAGTTGCAATGAGCCGAGATCACGCCACTGCACTCCAGCTGGGGGAATAGAGCAAGACTGTCTCAAAAGAAAAAAAAAAAGATTGCCGTTTATGAAATAATGCTCATAATTAGCTTTCCCAAAAAGTTTTCAGACTCTGCTCTTCCAATTTAGTCCCAATTGTTAAACTCCTTTCATCATTTATTTTTCTCTCTCTCTCTTTCTCACACACACATATAGAGACATTAAGCTTCTCCTGATAATATTACTTTGTGCCATACACCGTCCTAATACTTTCCATAAATTTAATCCTCACCATGCTGATATCCCCCTTTAAGTAACCTGTCCATGTTTATCAGCTAGTAAATGACAGAGCTGTACTGTGAACCCGGGCAGTCACATGTTCAGTTCTCGCACAGTGCATGAATACACAAGGTGCTCAACAAATGTTGTTTTGTTGTTGTTGTTTTTGAGACAGAGTCTCGTTCTTGTTGCCCAGGCTGGAGTGCTATGGTGCAATCCCAGCTCACAGCAACCTCCGCCTCCTGGGTTCAAGCGATTCTCCTGCCTTAGCCTCCTAAGTAGCTGCGATTACAGCCATACACCACCACACCCAGCTAATTTCGTATTTTTAGTAGAGAAAAGGTTTCTCCATGTTGGTCAGGCTGGTCTTGAACTCTCGATCTCAGGCAATCCGCCCACCTCAGCCTCCCAGAGGCTGAGATTACAGGTGTGAGCCACCACACCCGGCCCCATCTCCCTTCTTAACTTTTCCTACCCATCATCTCCATTTACACATGTTAATGAGCACCATCCCTGCCATGGCCACTAGATGTCAGAATAAAGCACTCCATGCAGCTCTGATGTTCAAGATCAACTACTGGATAAAGATCTTAATAAATGCTTAGACGTTTTGAAAGGCAAATAATCACACACAAACCAAGAAGCTGGATATAAGCAGAACTGCTTGATCCAAGGAAAAAGCGTGACTGTATATTTTAATCAAAGTCCATTTTTAAAATTACAAAATATTAAAGAAATAGAATTTCTTACAGAAACTGAGATGGCAGTGTTCTATGTGTATTTGGGTGAATGAAAACAGAGAGACTCAGCCTAGATGTAGAAGAGGAGAACAAAACATAAGGAACTCAGAAATAATAAGGGCTTTCGGTCCTGAGTTGAAGAGTTGGGGTTCCAGCCAAATTCAACTAAAGCTCTGGTAGATAAGAAAACCCAGCCACAAAGTCTAGGGTCATCCTCAAGACTTTGCTAAGTACCATATGTAAAGTAATTCTTTTTGCATTTATATTTTTTGTGTTAGAGACTACTTGTACTCCTGAGGTGTGTTCTGCTCTACATCTACAATTACAGAACAAACATCTGGGCACATAACCCACTAACTAAAGTCTATACTTCCCAGACTCCTTTGCACACAGGTGTGGACTAGGTAATGATCAATAGAACATGAAAAGAAACAATATACACAACTTTCAGATAGTGCTCTTAAAGAGAAAGAGCTTGTTTTCTCTTTCCCCCCTTTCTCTTTCTACTGGCTAGAATACAAATATGATGTATTTTATGGTGAATGTGGCAGGACCACAGACTAAAACTCTTGGTCCCTATCACCCTAGAGCGGCCAGGTCAATCCTGAACTGCTTATGTTCAAGTAAGTTACAGGAAAGAGAAATTACTTTCTATCATATTGAAGTCTCTGTTGTTTTAGTCTCTGTCAGAGAAGCTGAATGAGAATTCTAATTAATATCCTTATAAAGTCATATCAAACTCATGATTACATTATGACTGTACCATCATTCTTATGAAGTACATTAAACAAAATGTTTCTCTTCATTTCACAAATGGGAACACTGATCAAGACCACTGTATTTGTCTGTTTTCATACTCCTATAAAGAAACTGTCTGAGACTGGGTAATTTATAAAGGAAAGACGTATAATTGACTCACAATTCAGCATGGGTGGGGAGGCCTCTGGAAAATTACATCTTAAATTATAAACCCCATAATCCTCACATGTCAAAGGAGAGACCAGGTGAAGGTAATTGGATCGTGGGAGGGTTTCCCCCATGCTGTTTTCCTGACAGTGAGTGCGTTTTCAGAAGATCTGATGGTTTTATAAGTGTTTGGTAGTTTCCTCCAGCATTCATTTTCCTTCCTGCCACCTTGTGAATAAGGTACCTTGCTTCTCCTTTGCCTTCTGCCATGATTGTAATTTTTCTTATGGGCTAATTACCTCTTAGAAACATGAGACTGTATCCACCTTGAGTCAATCCCAGAATCCTAGAACAAGGGGTCCTTCTACTTTTCTATTATTTCTATTCCTGCTTTGTCCCATAAAGTGAAAGGAAATGTACCCACCCTTAGGCTAAGTTCCACGTTCTCTCCTCCATAGATGAGCATTCCACCATCCAGAGACCCGATCTCTCCCAGGAAGAGCCTGTTAGCAGCCAGGATGCCCATGATTGAAGGACTCCTACAGAGCATACAGCAAGAGTCACTGATCTCTCCACAAGGAACGGAGGTGACGGGTGGGATGCTCAATGATTATTTGAGCTTCAGAACTCTACCTAAGTCTGTTCTTATCATGAAGGCCCTCCCTAAACCCTCAGGCTGGACTAAGTGCATGTAGCTTTCCCTGGCCCACTGTGTTATCATAACCCTTCTCAAAATATATTGAAATTACATCTTTTTCATCTAGATATTCTTACTTCATAGTCTGCTAATGCTTGCAATGGCCCAAATGCTTTCCAAACTTTTAAATTTTGGAAAATTTTCATTTAAAAATAACTAAAAGAAATTTAAATTTTGGAAAGCATTTGGGCCAAGCATCAGCAGGCTATGAAAGCTTGGTTTTTGCCTGAAAGTCCCTGAATAGCCCAACGTGTCTGTGATTTCTTAACTGGGATAACTCACTGGGGTTTTTTCCCTCTATCCCTTGCCCTTTACCTCAACCCCTCCCTTCCTTCCACCTCACCCCAATTACAACCACCAAAGATAAACAAAATCCATGCAGTTCATCACTGTCTTCTCAGGCGCTACCACGTTCCCTGAACCTGCTCAGACTTACTTCACTGGGGCAGTGACATCATGCAGCTCAATCCAGGCTTGTGGCAGTGCATCGTAGCGACACCAGAGTTCCCAGTTAAACCCATCGACTGCCAGTTGATACTTTTCCAGTTCAAAGGTGTCAAAATGAATGTTGTCAAACACGGGAGACACAATCACGGTGTGGTCTTCCTGAATCCGAGCCAAGATTGGCTCTGCCCTAGAAGGAGAGCGTGCAGCAAGCTGCTCCAAGCACCTTGCCCTAACATTGAGCACCTCCTCCATTTGGGCTGTGCTAGGTTGTGAGTAGCTCTCCAGAGTCCAGAGAATCTCTGTACCTTTTGAGGTAGCTGAGGCTGCTAGCATCCAACCCGCGTCAAGAACAGGTTTGAAATTAGTACCCAAGGAGCACCCCCAGGCCATTGTGAAGCAGGATTATCAGTATTTATATTACTCCTTGAATTTACGTTATCTCTTGGTTCACCCTGTTTCCAAAATGATGCTTCTTTCCTGTCTGATTCTCCACATTCTCTAAAGAACATAGCTCTCTTTATTATATCGTGTCATTTCAGGGCTGGGGAAAGATCTTTAAAATAAACAGAGGCTAATCTCTTCATCTTTACAGTTAAAGACACAATGTCTAGTTAAGTGAAGTGACTTATTCAAATTCACAAGGTACTTGACAGTCAGAGTTATGATCCGACTGTCAATACGCTCCACCACGCTACTTCTCCTAGCCAAGCCAAATGCCTGCATAAAAGCATACTCTTTTGGAGCTTCCCTCTGTTAAGGTCTGGTGCTGACTTTCCCTATGTCCACAGTATCCTGTCTTGTGTTTAATACATGCCCAAGACCTCCTCTCTGCCCTTTCCAGAAGAATCAGCCTCCTTGAGCCTTACCATCCAACATTGACTTCAATGTGAGCATCCAAGATGGCGACCACGTCTGCTGTGGCAGCTTCCCAGCCACTGTTGCGGGCTTGAGCAAGACCTTTCCTCTCAGGGTGCCGTATTATTTTCAGTAGTCCCGGATACTTCTGGTTGTAAAGTTTAATCTTCTCATTCAAGTGTACCTTTAGTTCTCCTGTCAACCAAGTGCACACCTGTAAAAATCCTGAGTGCAATAATCGATGTGATACAGAAGTTTTATACTATTCTATGATAGTGGCTGGACTACCTCCAGCATGAAATGGGCAATTCGAAGAGTCAACTAGAATAGTAGTATTTCCCCTGTGCCTGCCTCTCTTCTCCGTTTCACCTGAAGTGTACTGTGATCATTCCTAATTTCCTTTCCTTCACAGTTGAACTATCTTAGAATGATAATACTGCTTACCACGTGTCAGGCCCTGTCACAGGTGCTTTTTAAAATTAAGAAGTTCTTGAGAGAATGAGTTTTAACATTAAGAAGTTCTTGAGAGAATGAGTAGGACAGACCTGGCCTAACTAAGGTACAGAGGCTGATGGAAAACACTGCAGGAAGGCCTGGAACATCTTCATAACTAAACTCTCAAGACTATCTGGAAAATCCATAAATGACTAAAATTGTTTTGTTTTAGATACTCCCAGCCTACTTAAGGACCAACTGGGACAGAATGCCCAGATTAATCTCTTTGCCAGCTTCTAGCTGGTGAATTTAGCTCAAAAATTATGCAAACAAGATTCACTATTCCCGGACTGTTCACAGGTGGTTTTCTTCCCTTTCTTCCCTTTTAATAAAGCTTGTCTACGGCTTTGTTCTTTGGCTCAGCCTACCGCTGACTTCCTCATGTGTAAGAAAACAACCTGAATGCAAATCACTGAGCGGCATGCAAAATATCTAGCCAAATGACTCTGAGTTACTCATTGATAAAATCAATTAATTTAATTCTGAAAGAATCTCATGTGGTAGGCACTACAATATCCCCACTGTACAGGTGAAGAAACTGAGGCACAAATAGTTTTAAAAAACTTTTCCGAGTCACATATCTAGTAGGTGGCATACCCTGGACATGAGCCTATGCTGTCTTTAGCCACCAGGACATATTGTCTCAAGAACTCTTGTGAGTACGTGGTTGGGTTTCTCAAGTCCTCCCTCCATCTCCTCTCTCCCCATAGACTCTCATAGTCAAGGAATGAGATTCTGGCTCCTCTCTCAAAAGAAGAGCATATTTGTGAGACCTACAGTGGTCAAGACTTGGAATCATCACCTACGTGATGATGGCAGTAAAACTTGCCCCATTTTAGATCTGCTGCACTCAAGAGTGATTGTCTCAATTATTGAAGGTGCTAAACAGAGCCACGACATCTAAGGCTGTTTGCTTCCTCTGGGAGTAAGCTGGGGGTAGCCAAGGTGGCCAGTCTGTATACCTATCCATGCACTACTTTTACTCAGTAATCCACAGGAGGTGCCACTGAACCTGAATATCTAGATTCTAATTTGGTCACTACATAATTCTGTGTCACTCTGCACTAGATGTGTCTGTTTTCTCAACTTAAGGAAAAAGTACCATGGTTCTCCTGGGCTCCGGCAATCCTCTGCCTTGGACTCCCAAAGTGCTGGAATTACAGGCATGGTGGCTCATGCCTGTAATTCCAGCACTTTGGGAGTCCAAGGCAGAGGATTGCCGGAACCCAGGAGATCGAGACCAGCCTGGGCAATAGAGTAAAACTCTGACTCTTTTTTAGAAAAAAAGAAAAAAAAAGAAAAAAAAAAATATATATATATATACATACACACACACAATCAAGAAAAGTATCAGATATTCAGGACCCTTCCAACTCTAAATTTTTATGACTATAGATTCTGAGTCACCTCCTGAGAAACAATGCCTATCATATAGCACAAAAATTAAGGATGCCTCAACGGGTCTTCTGAAGACAACCTATGCTCCCTTCCCAGCTTTGCCTTCCTACTGGTCTCTTCCCCATACCTGTTATTTCCAGCTGGTCAGCTCAGGGTGCTTCCGTATTCCTCATTTTTCTTCACACCATTCTTTCTGCACTCCCTAGTTCTCTACCCCAACCCAGTTTCTGAGTCTTCCTTCATTTCCTCTGCTGTCTCAAATCCTATGAAGCCTTCAAGTCCCAATGCAAGCCCATCTCCTCCAGAAAGCCTCGTTAGATCATCACGCCCCCCCTCTCTGTGCCTTCTGATGCTACTGACAGTTCATTTTGCTTGTCACATTATTCTCCACACATTGACATATCTTTCCACAGATTGTCTTGCCTCATCAATTAAGATGGAAACTTCTTGAACTCTCTGACATCCTCTTCCCTGCCCAGTGCCTGGCACATGGTAGACACTCAACATGTAGTTGTTGATTGTGTAATATTCCTAAAATTAGGTAGAAAATACAGCATTCCACCTACCTTGATATAATTTCTAGAAAGCTTAGATCTCATCTAATGTTTGAGTGGCATTTAACATTTGAGCTCAAAATATTTGAGTGATGTGAATAAAGCTTAACATCTAGGGAAAGACAGAAAAGAGGCAAATCTCTGGCACCAGGTTTTGGCATTTCAAAAGTACTACAAATAATACTGAGATAGGCGATAGGTGAGGAGCAGAACACTAGCTAGCATGTAATGGGAACAGGCTCTCTCCTGAGCCCTTTACACACATGATTTAATCCCAAAACTGGTCCTACCAGGTAGACACCATTATTTCCTGATGTTATAGATGCAGAAACTGAAGTGTGAAGTGGTTGAGTCAGTTGCCCCCAAATTTACATGGATAGTGAGTTTCTCTTTCGACATGCATAGTAGAGAGTTCCATTTATTTTCCTGTTTAACACAAAACAGATATTTGAGTTGTGCTCGGTGTAGGACCAATTTGGCTGGTGTTTTCATGGTTAATGAGAGACACTCTCTAATTCCTGTCCCTGTAACACTGGAGAATGGCAGACAGTCCCCTCTTCTGTGACCATCCGAACAAATCATCTCTGTGGAAAACGAAAATGGGTTTCAGACCCAAAGAATGTGTTATGATGGAGTGCGATTTAGAACAATAAGAAAGTTTTCGCTTTTCCTTATGTGTCTACCCTGTGTTTCTAATCTTGTATTTTTTTTTATTTTATTGTTCCACAGGAAAAGTCCTAAATTAAGTCTTATCTACACCCCATCAACATGGAGGTATAAACTGATTGATTTTTTTTTATTGGCAGAAAAAGATATCTTTCACAGTATTCCAGCTCCACTCTTGCATTTGCCTCATGAAGACCCTGAGTCCCAAAGAGGAGAGGGGACCTGCCTAAGGTTGTCTCTGCCAGGGAGCAGAGCCAGTGTCTTCAGAAGCCCAGGGCAGAGGTCTTTCTAATCAAGCTCCTATTTTTGGCTCGGAAAACCAGGTGTGCAACTTGCTAACAGTCTCCATGCCCAGAAATGAATGAAATCTGTCTCTTTTCTCTGGTTTTCAGTGGAATTTTATTCTAAGAATTGTACCTTCTTATTTTTTGTTTAGTTACATTGGAAGTACAAGAGAGGAAGGTATGCAAAGGATGAAGGTAAGTATTTTTAGTGTGGAAGTCTAAAAAGGAAAGTTTAAGCAATCATTCTGTTTGCTCTCTCTCCTGAGAGACAGGTTGAAGGTACAATAACCTATCTTGTACTTATAGATCCCCAGAAAAGGAACATAATCTGCCTCCAAGGAGCTGCCACTTCATAGCCCTTATAGTCAGAAAATTTTTCCTTACTGCTAGCCCAAACCTCTAAGTTTTCGTAACTTAACTCTGCTCTCTTTTATTCGTTGCGCAAAATCAATAAAACTAAGAGCCAACACTTGCCGAGAGGCTACCATGTGCTAAATGCTAAATGCTTTACATAATTCATGCTTTTGTTTTTGTTTGAGATGGAGTCTCGCTCTGTTACCCAGGCTGGAGTGCAATGGTGCACTCAAGGCTCACTGCAACTTCTGCCTCTTAGGTTAAAGCAATTCTCCTGCCTGAGCCTCCCGAGTAGCTGGGACTACAGGTGCACAGCACCACACCGGCTAATTTTTATATTTTTAGTAGAGATGGGGTTTCAGCATGTTGGTCAGACCAGTCTCAAACCTCGTGATCCACCTGCCTCAGCCTCCCAAAGTGCTGGATTACAGGTGTGAGCCACTGAGCCACCCCCCCCATAATTCATGTATTATAAAAGGAACATAGTGATTAGAACTAGGGCTCAGGACTCTGAAGTTTATGGTCAAATCTCAATTCTGTCACTTACCATCTGCGGGATACTGAACGAGTTCCTTGATCAGTCCATGCCTTAGTTTTGTGCATCTGTATAATGGGTCAAAAAGTGGTTCCTTCCTCATAGGGTTGTTGTAATGATTAAAACAGTTAACACATGTAAGGTGCTTAGAACAAGCAATGTTAGCTGCCATGATTATATCATTTAATTCTCACTTTAGTTCATAAAACAGTTATTATAAACATTCATATTTTGTGTATAAGAAAACCAGAGCATGAAGACGTTGAGTTACCCAAGGACATAACACTTACAAAGGAGAAGCCGGGATTATGAACTCAGAAAGTGAGGACTCAGGTCCACCGTCTTCCACGTCTCTTCCCTGGGTGGGCTAGACTCAGGGCAGGGGTCACCCTCTGGGCAAGCGCTGTTGCCACTTTGAAGAGTCAGCACCCAAAGCTCTCTTTTCTCCAAGTTTAGTGATCCAGGAAGAATGGTCTCTTCCTCACAAGGAGCAACTCTAAGTCCCCTCCTGGCATCTAGGGTCCTCCTCTAGACTCTGTTTCACCCCACAGGCTCCTTTGTGGTGACTGGGAGGGGCGCAAGTAGATTTAGAGGCACACAGTCCTGGCCTAACTCCCAGCTCTGCCACTGGCCTGCAGTCCAATTTAAGCACGCTGTGTATCTCTCAAAGTCTTATTTTCCTCATCTGTGTAACTGAGATAACTTTCCTCTGTCTTGACTTTGTGAAGATTAAATGTGGCTAGCACAAACAGACCCTCAACTAATGATCTTTTTATTTTCCCTGCAAGAGAAGCCCAGGGTGTCCTAAACTCTAAGCCAAACCTCTTTCCAGCCAAGCACAGTTGACAAGCGACGATTTTGACAATTATTCTTTATCACGTTGCTCACCATTTGAGCTGAAATCATCCACCAAGATTATTTCCTTCAACAATCGAGATGGTGTCCGGTTGATAATACTGGTGATGGCCCGCTGTATAATGGACAGAGCTTCATCCATGAATATGAGAATGACACTGAGGGATGGGAGTTGGGAAGGATACGTCTTCTGAAGACACCTATAAGAGATCATTTTTATAACCACATTTTTTAAATTACGGAAACACTGCTATCCAATCTTTCCCTTCACTCTGTGTGATGTTACATCAACCAATTCATCCCCCTCTCAAATTCACTGGAAAGCAAAACTCTTAGTGGTTTACCACAGTAGCAAGATTTTATATTCATTCATGCAAAATTCTTCTGCTATGAGGACAAACCATCTTGTATTAATCTTTACTAGATGTTTCCATTTGAACATTCAACACAGTTCAAAAGGAATTCCCGTTCCTCTTCCACGCCCGGATTAGTTTCCTTGCTAGCAGCTTTCTTCCTGTCATCGCCACGGCCCTTCTCCCATGTTATCAGGTTCCAGCCACTTGGACACAACCACCTACTTCACCACCAGAGACAGGTGGCAAACTGCTCAGAGAATTGTGCTTAACACATTTTTTAAAATCCCAGCCTACATTTATTAAATGCTTACCATATGCTAGGCACTGGTTTAGACATTTTATAGCTTTATTGGGGTTTGATACACAAAAACTGCACATATGCACGTACCCACAATACCATTATAAAGGTAATAAACTTACCTATCAGCTCCAAAAGTTTTCTTCTATATCTTTGCCCATTTTTAATTTATCATTGAGTTTTATGAGCACTCTATATATTCTACATTTCTTATCAGACGTAGGGTTTGCAAATATTTTCTCCCACTCCATGGGCAGTCTTTTCACTTTCTTGATGGTATTATTTGCAGCAAAAACAAAATTTTGATAAAGTTCAACTTTTCAATTTTGTTTCACTTATGCTTTTGGTGTCATATCTAAGAAACTCTTGCCAACCCACTGTCTCTCAAGATTTGCTGGTTTTTTGTTTTTGTTTTTGTTTTGCTAAGAGTTTTATAGTTTTATCTCTTATATTTATATCTATGACCATTTTGTGTTAATATTGGCGTATGGTGTGAAGAGGGATCCAACTTCATTATTTTTCATCTAGATATCCACTTGTCCGAGCACCCATTTGTTGAAGAGACTATTCTCTCTCCCATTGCATTGTCTTGCTGCCCTTGTCAACAATCACTTGATCATAACTTTAAGTGTATATTTCCTTTTCCCTGTGTAACAGGGTACAGGGAGCTAAAGTTGGGTGTTTTCCTTTCACCATGTAGAAAGCTAAAGGAGGCTGGAGTTGAATATTCCCCTTCTCCCAGGTAGGTTAGTGTCTTAGTCCGTTTTGTGCAGCTGTAACAGTATACCTGAGACTGGATAACTTGTAATGAACATGAAATTTATTGGCTCATGGTTCTTGAGGCTAATAAGTCTAATATCAAGGTGCTGGCGTCTGGTGAGGGCCTTCATACTGCATTATAACACGGTGAAACGCATCACATGGCAGAAGGAGCAAATAGAAGGATGAAAAGAACAAGAACCCAGTCCCATGAAAACAAACTCGCTCTCATGATAATGAAGTGGTAAGAGCATTACATTAGCCCATTCACAAGAGCAGAGCCTTCATGACCTAAATACCTCTTCAATGTCCCACTTCCCAATACTATTGCAATGGCAAATAAATTCTAATATGATTTTCAGAGAGGACAAGCATTCAAACCACAGCAGTTAGGCTATCATAAAACCCCAGCAGCTTGGGCTCTGGCAAGATAGTTTCTCTTTCAGGCAGACCTTGTTAAGAACAACAGAATACTCTCGCAAATTTCAAAATGGTTCCTTTTCACCTCTTCCCCTCTCCCTCCCAGAGGCAGGAAGAGATTTTTCTGATATTTACTGTGAGGATCTGGTACAGGTCCTGGAGGGAAAATGTACACAAATGTAGGAGTCCCTGTGACTGGGTCTCCGCAGAGTGTTTAATTCTCAGACTTGTTCTCAGTTCATCAATTTTCAGTTCAGGTTTTCCTATCCTAGCACTGGTTCCCATAGCTTCTGCTGTGGTAAAGTTGTGAGTCTCTGTATCCACCTGTCTGTCTCTCCAATTCTGGGGGGAGCACTTTGCCCTCCAATGTCACTTCTTTAAGAGACCTGAGAAGAGTTTATTTTTCCATTTTTTTCAGCTTTTTACTTGTTATTAGCATAGAGTAGGGACTTCTAAGCTCCTTAAAAGCCACAGCAGAAAATGAAAGTCAAACTCCTCATTTTTATTACTGTACTTTTCAATTTTAGAATGATCATTTGGCATCTTTTTATAAAAGTTTTTATTGATAATTTCTATTTCATGAGACATTGTCATTATAACCTTCCTTTAATGCTTCAGACATGGCTAACTTTAGTTCTTTGAATATATTTATAATGACGGCTTTGAAGTCATTATCATCTAAGTCCAATATCTGGGCCCCTTCTAAAGTCGTTGCTTTGTTTTATTTCGTGCATGAGTTATTACTCTTTCCTGTATCTTCGTATGTCTCATAATTTCTTATTAAAATTTATTATTTTAGACAAAGTGCCTAGTAGCTGTGTATATAACCGAGGAGTAGATGTCATTGTAATTTGCTTGGTGGTTCATTTATTCAGTTAGTGACTTGGCTGAACTAATTTGCAAAGTCTACAAAATATTTCTCCTGCAGTGTTCAGCCTTTAATGCTCATGATCTTGATCTTTTTTTTTTTTTTTCCTTGTTTTTCTCTTTTAGCCTGGGTCCCTGGGGTTTGCTTCTAGATCATCATAAGCCACTTACTCATCAGAGATTGGATTTAAAACTCCTTGGTTGATTAGATTTTTGGATATATGTGGCATGGAGGCTGTGATCACAGTTCAGGGAGTTTACAGTTTGACCCACATACTGGTAGCTTGGATTTTTTCTCTGTGATAACTCCTAAAAGAGCACAGCCATGGATATGCACATAGTCTTCCAGATTACCAGGGATGTGCATAATTTTATTTTTAATCCTGACTTCCTAGTAGTTGCCTCTGAGTCAGAGCAGTTTATTGTTCAAGCAGTATTTGTTCAGAAGTTGGGCTTAAGCCCCTAGTGCCAGTGAGGCTTCAGCTGTTTGCTGATGGATCTGTGTTCTGGCTAGCAAATGGTTTTCAGTCTTCCCCTCATTCTACTCTTGCTGTTCCTGAGCAAGTTCAGTCTGGTGCTTGCACACAAACTTCTAGGTCACCCAGAAATGAGTGTCGTCCAAGGGGGACTCTTTTGGCAGTCCTTTTCCCTGATTCTTCCTGTGAAATTTCTGGTTGTTCTGCCATTTTGCTTGTTGCTATCAGTATTATGGAGCTATGAGCATACTCTAATTTTCTCCCCCAAGATCTCTATTGTTTCAGACAACACCATTGGGCGTGGAATTCTTTATCATCTGTTCCAAATAAGGTCAGTCCCTAAAGTAGAGCTGGGGAGGTTTTCATCCTGTCTTTCCTCCTTAACAGAACTTCTGCACCACTGCACAGGAGCTGGAAGTGGAGACAGAAGCCCACTTTTAGAATGACACCCTGCTCTACAAGTAGACGTGGGCTGGAGGGAAGGAGGTCCTGGCCTTAGCTTGTGCGTTCTGGTATGGAACTTCCACTCTGCCAGCAAGCTGGGGAAGGGGCAACTGGAGCCCAGTGTTCTTGGACCCATGCACCTGGAATTGAAATTTCACCCTATGAGTAGAGGCAAAGTGGAAAAAAGAAGTCACAATTGTCTCTCTCAATCCCCTCCACTAGGAATAAAGCTTTTGCATTCCTAGTGGAGGAAGGAGAAGGCGTGAAATGTGGGTGGCCTGCCCTTCCTGGGGTGATGCCAAGGACCTGTGGATGCTAGGACCTGCAGAGACAGGGAGCCCCCTTCCTGACCACAGCCACTCAGAGCAGAGAACCGTGAGTAGTTTCCGTAAGACAGTGTGGGGGTGGGTGGGGGGAACAAGTCATAGCTGCAATACCACAGACTCCTGCTGTTCTTAAGGATATTTAGTAGATTTTCTTGAAAGAACGTTTTTCCATTTGCATATTCCCTTAGGACAGTTTGTAAAAAAATTTAAATAATTATAATTTTATCCAGTCAAATAGTTGTTTTGCTAGGGAAAGAAAATGTTGCACTCAACACTTTGCCGCTCTGGAAGGAAGCCTCAATCTACACATTTTTTTAAACAAACTTAAAGTAGCTGCCAACATACGAATCCAGATTTCTTATCTCTCTGACAAACAAAAAATTTATCTCACTGCAACCGCTTTTCCAGCAGATAGCCCCTGCTCTGTCCAGAGCCAGGGTTGCTGCAGTTACTCACAGTGTAGCTCGCTGTTTACCCATTCACCATCGCCCTCACCCAAAACTCTCACATCATGGATGTTGGTAGGCATTTGAATTGCACCTCTGAAACTGCAAGGGGATTTTAGGCTAAAGCCAAAATGCAGGTGAATGCCAGGGACACAAAAGAACACAGTCCTTGGAGAGCTGCCCTGCTTAGTAGTAGAGCCAAGAGATATGAGGCTGGACAGACTAGAGGGACTGAACATTGGAAGCTAGGAAGATGGACTTTACCCTAGAGGAACTAAAAGATTTTTTTTCTGAGACAGAGTCTCCCTGTCACCCAGGTTGGACCGCAGTGGTGCGATCTCGGCTCACTGCAACCTCCACCTCCTGGGTCAAGCGATTCTCCTGCCTCAGCCTCCCGAGTAGCTAGGATTACAGGTGTGCACCATTGCACCCAGCTAATTTTTGTATTTTTAGTAAAGACAGGGTTTCACCATGTTGGCCAGGCTGGTCTTGAACACCAGACCTCAAGTGATCCACCCACCTTGGCCATCTAAAGTGCTGGAATTATAGGTGTCAGCCACCACGCAGGGCCTGGACTAAAGGATTTTAAGCAAAGGGTTGGTATGATCACATCATCATTTTAAAGAAACCATTCTGGCTGCCGTGAGGACAACAGAAAGTAATCAGCCACATGTGAACACCATAATAGGGTGGGAAGGTATGAAGACCTCACCTAAGGCCTACCGTGGAGAAAGAAAGGAGTGAAAGGAAGATACTTTCAATCTGATTTCCTCATCACTCATTACTCAAATGTGGTGGGCAGGTGGAA